TAACTTTATAATTCTAACCTTTTAATTCCTTTGCAGTATATATATATGTATACTGTATGTATACTGTAAGGCAGTCTTCTAATTTTTTGAGACTAGGGCTGGTACATTAGCCATGCTTGTCTCTAAAGCCAACTCAAGTTTCTAGCTGAGTGACTTCAACATGGCTTCAGGAAAGGTCATTACACAGAATTTACTACCAAACTATAATATACTGGAATTTTCTCTTTTATGTTTTGGAGATGATATATGTCTAGTTTTTAATAGAAAAAAAAATGGTATGAATTTTGGAATGCCATACCTGAACCAAATTGATTAGAGTGTCTCTGAAGTGTCCTGAGGTCTCTGAGTAAATGTCCTCTTGAAGGTTACTGCTGTATTCTGTATAATAAACCATGTTAAAGATATAATCATATCTTTGGAACCATGAATCAATGTGCTTTGGATAAGTTAATGCTACTTATCCAAGTAAGTGCAGGAAATATTGTCTATCTGTTGACATTTCTTTGTAAATAAAAGTCCCCAAAGAAAGGTGCCACCTAGTGGCGACATAGGCATAGGTCTATTCTTTAAAAAATTACCTGTACTCCAAAATTAAAAAACAGAATTGAGAGTCATTTTATATTCTCCAGTTCTCAAAGGTCAGAGCTTTGCATTCTGTTGCCATAGACTTCCACAGAGTCCAGAACTTTTCTCCAGTACTTATTTTATATTGTAAGTGAAAGTTGTTACTTCATTCCCCTGGAAAAGTCTTCTTTTTGTCCAAATGCAATAGAGGTGACTGTCTGAAACATTTTCTTAACATTCAAGGTTATATAGCCCATAATGTAATGGAATTTAAGGCATTAAGCCCTTTGTGAAAATGAATATAGTTGCCCTGCCAACTTCTAAATATGAAAAAATTTGGTTTTAAGGACTATTACAAGGCTAATGAAATTTATGTAAAGCAAAGTACATATATTTATAGATTTCACTGAGCGATAGCTACAGATTACTTTATTTTGTCTATTTTGAGTTAAAGTGCCCCCTGAGCTAAGGTGCAGGGAACTTCCCTGTCTTAATGGAAACATTCTCCTCAGAGAGACTTGTAATTATTTTCGTACATAATTTGCTTAACTTGATTGTCTGGAGAAATGTTTACCATCAATTTTACTTAATAGGTTAATTGGTCTTGTGTGATTCATATTTGAAATGTAAGAAAATTCTTCAAAATACATGAACTGGAATGCTTTATTTGCTACTTAAAAATACGAAGTTCATATATGAGTAAAATATACTCATATATATATATATATTTCCTTACGCAAGCAGTAGGCTTCTCTCATCTGGAAAATTTCTCCATTTGTTCTTGAGGCTAATATATCTATAAGGCAATTCTCATCTGTGCCTGCTCCCTGGAAAAATGAAAGAAGAGAGAAATATAAAAGCATTTTTATTGGGAATAACAGTGCACCTTATGAAGAGCAGCAGGACCCAGCGTAGTCAGGGTCTGAGAGGTGGCAGAGAGGAAAGGATGTTTGGGACAAAGGCCCAGTGTCAGTCTGGTTATGCCATTTACTAACTGTCTGACTCTTAGGAGATAATACATTTATTATCTGAAAGACACTGTTCCTTCCTTTAGAATAAAACTGCATAGGTATTTCTAAACAATGTGGAAAAAATGTTTCAGCAATGCTCACGGCAATGAGGATTTCCATTTGCTGTTGGAATATCAGGTTTTAGCAAGCTGAAATTAGAATGCGGATGTTCTCATTTTCCAAGAATGTTTTAGGGATCTGTCTCTTCTTCTCCCTAGATGTGGAATTTTGTACCATTTGCCTGAACATTTCCTTTGCAGGGCCTCTTGCAGACATGTACATGTACTGGCTTGTGACCGTGATTTTACAGACAGCACACCTTTTCAGAAAGGCACATTTATCCTTAGTCTTCTATAAACTGTTGATAAAATATACCAGCTTCATCTAAACAGCAACATATGACCTTATTCTTGTAATACTTAGGCACATACTTTTGCAAGAGGTAGAAATCGATGAGATATTCATTTAAAGTTATTAAAGTTCACAAGAATTTTAGGCAATTCCTATTCTGATCATTAGCATGATGGCCGAAATCCACGTTCCTATAAAATTTTTTTCCTGTTGCTGCTTTCCTGTTACACACTGTTTACCCATCATGGAGCTGGTCATTGGCAGACATCATAGTGGAATATTTCAACACTTATGCAGGAGTTTCATATCAGCATTTGGAAGTAAAAGATCTTCCCTCTCTGCTCCCTGTCCCTAGCCAACAAAATCTTAACAAATCCATAACCAATTTATTTCACGGACGTGACTTTCTTATAAGAAAGAGGTATTATAATTCTACAAAAGTAAAACTCTGATAGATTGAGCAATTGTTTTTGTAAAAGACTAACTGAAGTTCATAAAAATAAAGATGTTACCTATACACTGTCTAAATCAATACCTTATTTTGACTTGAGCCAAATTTTAACACATAATTTTAAAATATTTACATGATTTTTAACATAGTCTCCTCAATATGAAAATACATGTTGAGAACAGGCAAATCTGAATAGCCCTGGAGGCGTATTGATTCTTTCCTTTTGGTAGCTCAACACGGACCTGGCTCAGGAAGTCTGAGTCTGTAAACAGAAAAATTGGTGACTCCAGCCACTGGTCTCTGGAGGCCCCACCAGCTAACAAGGCCACTTTCTCTGACCATGTTATTTTCACTGTTACATCACAGTTTAGCTATTCCCTCTGCTCTCCTTAATCATATACATGTATAGGAGTGTCGGGGGATAATTTTCCCTCTAGGAATATTGTCCTATAGCTGTACAGGTTTACTTTTAGGTCAGATCACCTTCATGGCGTGCCAGAGTTCATGAGCATCATAAGATGGTGGTGGGTACATGAGACCAACCATCACCTCCTTGAAGTGATGCGAGAGCTTCTCTTTCAGATCCCCAATCAGGTCCTATGGAGGAAAAATATATATATATTTTTATTACATCAGTTCCTAAACAAGACATGAGATAATTGGAGAAAATTTTCTAGTAAGATTTACTTTTCCTTGTCATTTTGCATAAAACAAGTCAATGTGAAAGACAGAATCTGGGGTTTCTCACTGATTAAGGTTTTAGGGCTAAGACTGAGCAAATCCAAATCTGTGGTCTTTCCAGGGTTTAGTAATTTCTACAATTATATTTTTATTTTTTATGTTATTTTTGATTAGCCATCAACATGTTATTCTGTAAAGATGCTTTTGAGTTGCGTGGTTATCTAAATAATTTATGAAGGAAGAGAATAAATATAACATTTTTGTCATCTGTTAAAAACTTCCTATATCTTGGGGTGACGTCTATGGCTCCGTGGGTAGGTCATCAGCCCCGTATACTGAGGGTAGCAGGTTCAAACCCAGCCCCAGCCACACTGCAACAAAAAAATAGCCTGGCATTCTGGCAGGCACCGTAGTCCCAGTGACTTGAGAGGCTGAGGCAAGAGAATTGCCTAAGCCCGGGAGTTGGAGGTTGCTGTGAGCTGAGACTCCATTGCCCTCTACAAGGGCAATGAAATGAGACTCCGTCTCTAAAAGGAAAACTTCCTATGTCTTAAATTTATTTTTGAGTTAAAAGACTTTCTATTTTATTGAGATATAATACACTAGGTATGACAATTGAGTTTGTGAATTTGCTGTATGCACTTACATTGGCAGCACTGTACAAATAACTTAGTGATATTTCATAACCTTGGTATATCCATTAATCATTGTCTCTCAGTTGTGTTCATGTTGACATGTGGGGGTGTCTTTCTGAGAGGCATTCGCTATTTCTGTGTTTTTGTGTGCTGCTGTGATAATGTCAGAACTTAATTAGAGCAACAAATAGTAAATTTCTATTCTAACATAGCAAGAGTGGAAATGAAATCAGGAACACATTAGTCCAACTTTGTGGTAATAATGGCATGAAGAAAACAGCAGTGTACAAATGGATTAAACGTTTTTCTGAGAGGAGACAAAAACATCACCAATGAAGAGAGGTCAGGGCAGCCAATAATGAGCAGATAAATGAGCAGAAGTGATAAAAACATTACAAAATTTAATTGACTTGAGAGCCAAAATTATCAGCTGTCTGTGAAAGGCATACCAGGTCAAGTAACATCAATAGGTAAACACTTAGGAAAATCGTAACTGTGAATCTGGGCATGAGAAAGGTGTGGCTCTTGCATCACAATAATGCACCAGTGCACACAGCACTGTCTGCAAGGGAGTTTGTAGCCAATAAACAAATAACTGTATTGGAACACCCTCCCTACTCACCTGATCTGCCCCCACAATGACTTTTTCTTTACCTGAAGATAAAGGAAATATTTACAGCAAGAAGACATTTTGATGACATTCAGGACATGAAAGGTAATACGACATCAGCTCTGAGGGTCATTCCAGAAAAGAGTTCCAAAATTGCTCTGAAGGGTGGACTAGGCACTGGTGTCCGTGTACAGCCTCCCAAGGGGATACTTCAAAGGAGATGGTAGTAACATTCAGCAGTGAGGTATATAGCAATATTTTTAGGATGGGTTTGGAAGCTTAATTTTGAGACTCATGTGGACAATGAAATGCACATATTTATACATTGGTGATGCCATTTAAACAATCAATATATTAAATATTTTCGTAACATTCAGAAATTCTTGTGCCTCTGTGCTGTCTATTCCTCTTTTCAATGAGATCTCCAGGCAACTATGATTTATGTCATTATTAATTAGTTTGCACATTTTAGATGATTTTATAACTGGAATTAAACACTATATATTATATTTGTCCATTTTTATAACTCAGAATAAAAACTTTTGATATCCACATGTGTTATATGCTTCAGTATTTCATTTGTATTTATAGACAGTAATATTCTGCTGTGTCACTTGTTAAATCATTCACATGGTGATGAACATTAGGTTGTTTCAAGATTTTAGCTATCACAATAAATCTGCTATAAGCATTCATGTACAGTTCCTTTTTTTGAGAAAGAGTCTCATTCTATCACCCTGAGTGGAATGTTAGATGTCATAGCTCACAGCATCCTTAACCTCTTGGGCACAAGTGATCCTCCTGCCTCTGCCTCCTGGGTAGCTGGGACTACAGGTTCCCATCACGATGGCTGCCTGGCTAATTTTTCTATTTTTAGGAGAGACGGGGTCTCGCTCTTGCTCAGGCTGGTCTCAAACTCCTCAGCTCAAGCAATCCACCTGCCTTGGCCTCCCAGAGTGCTAGGATTACCAGCATGAGCCACAGCACCCAGCCCTCATCTTTATAAAGTAATATGTTTATTTGTATTTATTTAGGAAATCACTAAAAGTGGAATGGCTGGATCAAATGGTAAGTGAATGTTTAGCTCTTTAAGAAACTGCAAAGAGTTTTCAAAAGTTTCATCATTTTATATTCTCACCATTAGTATATCAGTGAGTTGTTGCATCTCCCCACTGACCCTTTGTATTATTATTATTATTATTTCAATTTTAACTTACCAGTGGTAGTGCAGCAGTATATAATTATTGCTTTTAACATCATTTGTGTAATAATTTTAAAGAACTCCTGGAATGGTCCTTAAAAGTCATTGTATCAAAAACCATAGGCAAAGAATTGTCTTTTTTATATGGACAATTAGTGTTTTAATATTTCTCAGAATTACTGTTTTGTTTTAAATTTACTTCTAATTGGTAAAAATTCCCCCAATTTAACAGGAACAAAAATACAATACTCTTTAATATTAGGTAGATGTTTCACTCTAAAAAACACAATCTTTTCATAAAATTTCCAAACATGGAAAAATCACCTGTCGTATTCTCATTAATTATCTCAAACTGTGAATGATGCTTAACTGAAAAGTGTTCTATAATGTATTATAATTTGAAAATTCTTTTTCACTACATAAAGGCCCATTAAAAAGTAGTTGGATGTCTCCTTTTGCCAAATGAAGATATAACTGTCACAAAAACTTTCTGATGATGTCAAGCAATTTAACACATGCTATTGGAGTCTGATAAAAAGGGAAGACATAAAAGATTAAAAATGTCGAAAGCATAATAGCTGAATGGCTACCAAATTTAAAATAAATTATAAACATAACAACCCCCCAAATTCAAGCAATTGCAGGCACAATAAACACTATTATAGGTACACTCAGGCCCATGATAATCAAATTGCTGGAAAAAAGGTGATACAGGAAAGTCTTAAAAATATTAATGGCCAGAGAAAAAAGATATCTTGTATCTTTTAAAAGACATGAGAATAAAGAAGAGTGTCATTACTACTGACTTATCTCCCGAAATTATATTAGACAGACACAATGGAAAGTACTTACAGGTGAAAAGGTGAAAAAATAGCAATTTAAACTTCTATAGACAGCAAAATATTTTTCAAAAATAAAGGTGAAATTAAGTTATTTTCTGGTAATCTAAAACTTTCAAAACGTGACACCAGCAGGCAATATTAAAGGGAATTATTTGGAATGGAATGGAATGAAAAATTTCATCTACCTAACTGAAAAAAAAAGAGGATCATAACTGTTTAATACATACATAAACCAAGAAGAGTTTAACTTTTTAAACAAAATCTTTTTAAAAGATGTTACATACATTTGTTTATAACAAAAGTGACAATGTATTATGTGATATAAATATGTGTAAAAGAAAAATGTGACAATAGCCTAAAAGATCAAGGAAGATGATATTATATAGTTATAATGCATTAAACTTACATAAAATTGTTATATTATTTAAAGATAGACTTTCATAAATTAAGGGTACATTTTACCAACCACAGTGCAAAATTTAAAAAGCAAAACACACAAATATAGGTAATAAGGCAATAGTGGATCTAAAATGAGCTCCAATCACAAGATGAATTAGTCCAAAAGAGGCTAAGAAAAGAGAACAGAAAATATGAAATTTAAATTTAAAATAGGTAATAGATGGTGGTAGGTCTGCTCAACCATTGACAGTCATGTAAAAGCTAGCCAAGAGCTGGGTGTGGCAGCTTATACATGTACTTTTAATGCTTTCAAAGGCTGAGATGGGCTAAGCACATGGGCCCAAGAGTTCACATCCAGCCTGGCAAAAAAGCATGACCCCATTTCTAAAATAAAAAAAAAATAATAATTCAGCTGAGCATAGTGGCTGGTCCTGTAGTGACCTAGCTGCTTGGGAGGCTGAGGTAAAAGGATAGCTCGAACGCTGGAGTTATTTGAATATCAAACAAAGTACACTTCTGAGAAAAGAAAATTTCTATGGATGAAGAGGGGTATTTCACACCGATAGAGGATCAACTCATAAATTAGAATAAAATCCTACATGTATATTTACCAAACAACGGAATTTTGAAATATATTAAGAAAAAAATTTGACAAAACTGAAAGGAGAAATCGAAAAATCCACAATTAGAGATTTAAAAAAATCTTCTTTCATAGTTGATAGAAAAGTTAGAAAATAGGTAAATGATAATAAGATTTAGCCTTCACTGTCCAACAAATTGATATTTATAGCACACTGACCATTAACAACAGAATACACATTCTTCCCAACCACACATAAAACATTCATCATGAAACACCAGATGGTGGGTGAAAATAAAGGATCTCAAGAAATGTATAAGAATTTAAATCATCTACAGTATAGTCTCTCACCACAACTTAATTATTTGTGAAATTAATAATAAAAATATATCTGGAGATTCCTAGATATTTGGAAATTGGACAACATTCATCTATATTACCCAAGGACCAAAGATCAAATCACAAGGAAGTTGAGAGTGCTTTAAATTCAAAGGAGGTGACACAACATGCCAAACTTTGTGAAAGGTGGCTGAGACGGTGCTTGAAGATAAATTTTTAAACATAAAATAAATTACTGAAGCTTTCATTTCAAAAGATCTGGAAAAAAAAGAATAAACTAAATCCAGAAAAAGAAGAAGGTAAAAAATCT